AAAGTGAAAATGGTGTGTTTTGTAAATTTAAAGTAAAATAATGGGTAATTTAGGAAGTTCATGCTATAATTCCTGCACGTCAGCAAAAAAGTCTTCCCACGTCAAATTAATGTTGAACCCGTTACGATTTCTAAGTTACATCAGCAAAAACTGAGCTAACGGACAGGTGACTTCATGGCTAACTTTTTGGGTTTATTACGTTTAGGAATTATAGGAATTATGGACGGTGTTGACCGAAAGAGAAATTAGTTTGGCGTGTTGACCGTAAAAGAAAAAAAATATTTAGGGGACAACAAGGGGCTTTGACCTACTTTCTAAGGGTTTCAAAGTAGGAAATTAGCTAGAAAGATGAACATGTGGTCGGACCCTTTTCAGTTTTCATCCGACCAAGTCTTGTGTACGGTCAAATATTGGCTAAGAGATGTATCCTTTTCGAGTATTGTAACTGTAGATTCAAAATTGAAACGATACATATTGTTGTATACTATTCCTAAAATATCAAAATCCAACACTTCATATATAATGTTCTGTGCACTCGCTGCCTCCTTTTCTTCTTCCTCAATGTTGAAACTTGCTTTCTCATTCTCTTTACATGCTTCTTCTCATTTCAGTAACACAGCTCTGCTCTGATGAGGAGGCTGCTGCTTTGCTGCAATTCAGGACTTCCACTTCCATCAATAACACTGCTTCTGATTCTGAACTCTGTCCATTTCTAAATGATACTATTCTCCATTTTAAGACTTGATCATGGAAGGAAGATACAACAATTACATATACAGGGGCTGGACCGTTTAAGTCAAGCAATACGAACATTTTGCTAAAAACTGTCTAGAATTCTGAACTCAAGCCACTGAAATGATATCTCAATCTGTTGCATCTTTAAATACTTCTAACAAGGATTTGATCGTTCCATATTTACAAGGGCTCAACACATCACGTTACCACTGAGCTTTCAAAGCTAACAATAGTCTGACTACACTAGCATTTGTTTTTTAAATCTTAGGTTGCACAACAGATTACAATCCTTTGCTAATCCTTAACTTTCTCTACTTGCATGCTGTCGGATTCAAACACCTCTTATTTCCACTAGAAATGATTATCAATGAGTTATTTAGGTGATTGGCAACTATACTAGCTTTTAATTGGTGATAGTTCTATTTAGAAAATTTTACGTGTGTGTGACAAATTAAGGTCTATACTTCATCACAAAATTCTTCTCTTTCATTTCATCCTTTGATTTTTTTTCTTGGGGATAATATATGATGAGTTTAATTTTGATATGCATTTACCTATCTTTTTTTAGCTTGAAATTTAATTGTATAGGTCTTTGGTAACTAAGTTTCACCTTAATTTATATTAATTTCATTATTTGTAGGTGAAAATTAAAATAGAAATTAATTTTTCAATAAGTAACAATTTGCACATTCTATAATAATTTAACCATATCTTTTTCTTCAGGCATCGGATTGAGATGATTCTTGAGGCATTGGAAAGCTAAGAAGCGGAGCTATAATTCATCTTTTATAAGCTCAACCCAGTTCCTTCAGTATCAATACAGAATTTCAGTGGAATGTGCGGCAAGAAGGTTGTGCAGATTGCAAAAAAGAAAGAAAGAAAACTGGGCTGTGTTTTGGATGTGGGCTGGCAGCATACTAGGCCCAAAAGATGCAAAAAGCCTAGTCCAGAAGAAAAAGGAAATCAGTGAGATTATTTTACATATATACCCAGATCCGCAGAAAGAAAGAGGACCCGAATCTGCCCTGCACATAGAAAAGAGGGCAAAAACCAACATTTAACCTTTTATCTTACAAAATTAGTAGGTTTTAACCCCTCAACTTATAACATAACACTTTTAGCCCTTTACCTTACAAAGTTGATAGGTTTTAACTTCTCACCTTACAAAATTAATAGGTTTTAGCCCCTTACCTTACAAAATTGATAAATTTTAGCTCCTCATCTTATATTATGACATTTTTAGCCCTTCACCTATGAGAATTGAAGAAAATAACCCTCACCTAATATCAGGTTATAACGTTCTATTAGTTCTGTTAATTGACTGTTAACATCCGTTAGTATTTCATTATAGAAAACATTAAATTTAAATTCAATTTTATTTGTTAGTTTCATTAACAAAATGCTAACGGATGTTAACAATTAGTTAACAAAATTTATAGTTAGTTAGCAAAATTTACAATTAACTAATAGAATTAACAGAACATACATGATGTTAAGTGAGGTTATTTTCTTCAATTCATACAGATAAAGGACTAAAAGTATCATAATATAAGATGATGGGTTAAAACCTACTAACTTTGTAAAATGAGGGGTCAAAATATACTAACTTTGTAAGATAAAAGGTTAAAAGTGTTATATTATAAAGTTAAGGGCTAAAACCTACCAATTTTGTAAAGTAAATGATTAAAAATGTTCTGTTATAAGTTGAGGGGTTAAAACCTACTAATTTTGTAAGATAGGGGCTAAATGTTGGTTTTTGCCCTAAAAAAGAGGGGGACGCCCAAAATCTGTTCGCAGACAAGGAGGAGAGCACAACGCCACTGCCCAGCCTGGTTGGAGAAACTACAGAACAACCTTTGTTTCCATTCTTTTCTTTGGTTTTGTTCTCTTCTCCGACAGTCTTTGTTTGGGAGATCAAGACAGCAGCGCGCCATCGACGCAAAGTGCAGTGCAGCTTGCTCTCCATTGGGACTGGTTTTGTTGATTCTTACTTGATTTTTACCATGATTTTTTGCTGGGTTTTCCGAATTATGACTGTCCAGAACTTTATTATGTGTAGCTAGATTTCTTTGAACTAGGATGCATGGATTTTAATTTTTGGATTATGGGACTTTTTTTTTGTTTAATTCAAGATTTATTGGTTATTTGTATGATGAGTTTATGTTATTAAGCTTAATGTGTTAAGAGTTTGATCATCTTTCAATTGATTTAGTATTTATGCATGAACTTGTGAAAGAATTATATAAATTAGACCGATAATAATATAAACCGTGTGTTAGACTATGAGACTGAGAGATAATTAGCTCACATGTGGTAGTAGAGGAAGAGAAGAGAGTTAGTAGCTCCCCCTTCTTAAGTTAAAGGTTTTCATAGAATTTAATACTCATTAATTTGTTTAAAATTATATAGAGATATGATTCGTTTGGCAAACAAATGAAGGATTAACTTGACTTGAGAAAGTTGGTTAATTAATTTAGGAAAATTTGTCATCTCATGCAATAACACTATTATTTGAACTTGAATTAAATTAATTAAACAGTTGCATAATTCAGAATTAAATGAAATTTAAGCCCTAGTTCCTTTTCATTTATAGTTTCTTTAACTTAGAAAATTCCTTTAGTTTAATTTCTTTAGTTTAAGTAGTTTTCTTTTAAATAGTTTAGCTTTACTCCATTAATTGGTTAATTCAATTTACATTAGATTAATATTGTCTTGGTAATGTAGAATAGTCCTCAAGGAAATGATATCTTATTCATTTTATACTATATAATCAATTAGATTTACTTGCCTAAAAGTAGTGCATATTTGGTGTATCAAGTTTTTGGCATCGTTGCCGAGGACTAGTCATCTACATATTAAGATTAATAATTTGGCCTTAGATTGAATTTTTTCTTTTACTAAACTCGATTAGTTGTTCCTTTTTGTTTTAAGTAATTGGTAGTTAATTTGCATATTTTATAGTTTAATTTGTTTTTCGCTTTTATTCTTTATTTATCTGAGTTTTATTATTATTATTTTTTATTTTACAACTTTACTAGTGCATGACCCGTAGTAGTGGTGGTGATCTTGTTCCATTTGATCCAGAAATTGAGAGAAATTTTAGGGAGTTTTTAAGAGAGCAAAAACAGAACATCATGGCAGAAGGAGGTGAAGGTCAAAATAATGCACGCATTCTTAGTTCGTATGCCACCCTATCCATTGAAGGAACAACATCTAGCATTAGGAGGCCAGCGATTCAAGCCAATAATTTTGAAATTAAACCAGCTATCATTCAAATGGTGCAACAAATTGTCTAATTTAGTGTTTTGTCTAATGAAAATCCTCATTTGCATATTGCTAGTTTTCTTGAAATTTGTGATACTTTTAGGTTTAATGGTGTTAGTAGTAATACTATTAGGCTTGCATTATTTCCATTCTCTTTGAGTGATAAAGCCAACAGTTGGCTTAAATCTTTTCCTGCAGGTTATTTTACCATATGGGATGTTTTGGTAAAAAAAATCTTAGCTAAATTTTTTCCTCCTTCGAAAACAGCTAAGATGAGAAATGATATTACTACTTTTGTTCAATTTGATAATGAGTCATTATATGAGTCATGGGAAAGATTTAAGAAATTGCTTAGACAATGTCCACATCATGGTTTACCTGTTTGGCTCCAAGTGCAAACTTTTTATAATGATATAACTCCTAATTGTTCTACAATTGATGCAGTTGCAAACGGTAATTTTATGAATAAGACAATAGAGGAAGGTTATAATCTGTTGGATGAAATGGCCTCCAATAGCTATCAATGGACTAATAATAGAGCTACCAAAAAGGGAGTTAGTTTACATAATGTTGATACTTTTACTTCCTTATCTGCTCAAATTTCTGTGTTGACTAAAAAGTTGTAACCTAGCTAGTTACCCCTCAATTCCTAAGATATAAAACTCATTTCTTTTCCTTTATAAAAACGTCTAATAGTTGCTATGGATTGTGTGGGCAATTTGGTCATGCTAGTGTTGAATATCAAGTAGACAATTCATTTCAATCTTCTAATGAGCAAGCTATTTTTGTTTCTTCTGGTGGTAGGTCTAATTTTAATCCATACTCCAATACTACAATCCAAGATGGAGGAGCTATTCTAATTTTTCCTGGAATAATAATCAAGTTACAGTACCACCAGGTTTTGAACAACAAAATCAGCAAGAAAAGAAATCAAATTTAGAGGAGTTGGTGCAAAATTTTGTTAGTAGTACGGAAGCATGGTTTCAAAACCAGGAAATAAGGTTCCAAAATCAAGATGCTACTATTTGGAACATAGAAACACAACTTGGACATATTGCTAATATGGTTTCTAGAAGAGTTCAAGGCGGTTTGCCAAGCAATAGTGAAAAGAATCTAAGAGAGCAATTAAAGGCTAACACTTTGAGGAGTGGAAAAGAACTGAAAGAGGTAAGACAATCTAATGGGAAAGAAGGTGTGGAAGCTGGTGAATCGAAGTAAGAGGAGCCACCGAAAAGGCTTTTTCATGATTCGAGTGTCAAGCCTTATAAGCCCAAAATCCCTTTCCTTCCAAGATTTTTGCAAGCTAACTTAGATAAATAATTTTCTAAATTCTTAGAGGTGTTTAAAAAATTACATATTAATATTCCTCTAATTGATGCTATTTCGCAGATGCCAAGTTATGCAAAATTTTTGAAGGAGATCCTTGCCAATAAAAGAAAGTTAGAGGAGTTTGAGATGATGAAGTTAAATGAAGAATGCTCTGTCATTCTTCAAAATAAGTTACCTCCTAAGTTGAACGATCCAAGGAGTTTTTCTATACTTTGTATTATTGGCAATGTCAATTTTAATAAGACTTTATGTGATTTAGGTGCTAGTATTAATTTGATACCATTTTATGTATTTAGGAGACTTGGATTAGGAGAACTTTCACCTACTATAGTTTCTTTTCAATTGGCAGATAGGAGCATTAAATATCCAAGAGGAGTAATAGAGAATGTTTTGGTAAATGTTGACATATTTATTTTTCTTGTTGATTTTATTGCTCTTAACATGGAAAAGATTTTGAAATTCCTTTAATTCTTGGGAGACCATTGCTTGCTACTGATAGAGCTCTTATTGATGTTCAATAAGAAAAACTTAGTCTTAGAATACATGATGAGGAGATTGTTTTTAATGTGTTTAAGGCTATGAAAAATTTTGATCATGATGGAAGTATTGTTTTAAGAATTGACGTGGTAGATAATTTAGTGGCCGAAAATTTTAATACTTATAGAGTAGATGATTCTATTGATAATTGCATTGTTAATGCTTTGGATGTGAAAGTTGATAGTGCAAACAATGACATTTTGGAGGCAACAACTATTCTTGAGGAAAAATGCAATAGGCAGCCATAAAAAGGAGGAAATTTTCTGCCCCTAGATGCACCGTCTACTATGAAAGTCAAGCCATCCAAAGAGGAGCCTCCTACTCTTGAATTAAAACCCCTTCCTTCTCAATTAAAGTATGTTTATTTGGGTGATTCAAATACCTTATCTGTGATAAGTTTTGCTTCTTTAATAGAAATTGAGGAGGAGAAACTCTTAAGAGTGTTGCGAGAATATAAAGGAGCTATAGGATGGAGCATAGCGGATATCAAAGGAGTTAGCCTTTCGATTTGCATGCATAAAATCTTGTTGGACGATGGGTACAAGCCAATTGTTCAGCTAGAAAGACGTCTTAATCCTAACATGCAAGATGTGGTAAAAAAGGAGGTAATCAAATGGTTGGATGTAGGTATTGTTTTTCCTATCTTTGGTAGTACCTGGGTGAGTCCTGTTCAAGTAATGCCTAAAAAGGGTGGGACAACTATGGTAAAAAATAAAAATGATGAATTAATTCTCACTAGAACAATAAAAGGTTGGAGTGTGTATAGGCTATGGGAAACTTAATGAAGCTGCTAGGAAAGACCATTTTCCACTGTCCTTTATTGACCAAATGATTGAGAAACTTGCTGGACATGAATATTATTGTTTTTTGGATGGTTATTCTGGTTATCATCATATTCCTATTTCCCCAGAAGACCAAGAAAAAACAACATTTACATGCCCATATGGTACTTTTGGTACGTTTCAAAGATGTGTGATGTCTTTATTTGTTGAATTTGTTGATGAGTTCATAGAAATTTTAATGGATGATTTTTCAGTTTTTGGCTCTTCATTTGATGCGTGCTTACATAATCTGTCTAGGGTGCTTAAAAGATGTGAGAAAACTAACCTAGTATTGAATTAGGAAAAATGCCATTTTATGGTTAGAAAAGGTATAATGTTAGGCCATAAGTATCTTCTAAGGGTATTGAAGTTGATCGAGCTAAGGTTGAAATAATTGAAAAGCTTGCTCCTCCTAAATCAATTAAAGAAGTTAGAGGTTTTCTTGGACATGTTGGTTTTTATAGGAGATTTATTAAGGACTTTTCAAAATTACTAAGCCTCTTACTAATCCCTTGGTTAAAGAAACCCCATTTTTCTTTGATGATGATTATATGAATGCTTTTCAATTGTTGAAAGAAAAACTGGTTAATGCTTCTATTGTTGTTGCACCTTGTTGAGACTTGCCTTTTGAGATAATGTGTAATGCTAGCAATGATGCTTTAGGTGCAATTTTAGGACAAAGAAAAGATAAGAAATTTCACGTCATTTATTATGCAAGTAAAACAATGAATGATGCTAAAATGTTCACTAGTGGGGGGCCCATGAGAATGAGGGAGAGAGAGAGAGAGGTCGAGAGAGTTTCAGGGTTGCAGGTACCGGACACTGGACTAGGACCAGGCGGACAGTACTGGGCAGAGAGTTCAGCCGGCACAGAGGAAGGAGTTGACAAGGAGGGGTGGACAGGGCAGAACAGAGGGCGTGGTATGGGAAGCAGAGGGAATATATGGAAAGGGGATATGATGTGGGAATGTTCAAGCAAGCAACAACCTTCTTCTTCACCAACATTCCCAATGACTGGAGCTACTCTGAAATGTGGACAGAATTTGCAAAATTTGGCAGAGTATACGCAATATACAGCCCTCCAAGAAGAAACAGAAATGGAAGAAGGTTCGGCTTTGTCAGATATCTCAACATTAAGGATGAGAAGGAACTAGAGAGGAAACTTGATCAGATCCAAATCAGGGGCCACAAGATATGGGTTAACATAGCCAAGTATCCTAAGGAGGAAGTTAAATAAAGGGAGACAAGGAGAATCGTAACCACAAATATGGTTGCTGCAGGAAAATCATATGCAAATGCAGTAAAAGGGAAGTTGGGAAGGGCTCCACAAAAAGCAGAACATATACAAGCAGAGAAGAGGCCAAAGTTGGACAATTAGATAGCAAAGAGTAGAAGCAACAATACACCCAGCTAGCAAAACACTAGACAAACGTGGAAACTCAAAAGCAATTAAGAAGAATGGTCAAGAATTGAGTACAACGTCAAAGAAGAAGAATATGAGTGGCTGTGTGGATGTTATGTGGGCATTGCTCACTCAGTGGAAATAGTGCCAAACCTTCAAGAAAAGTTTTATGTGGAAGGTTATTTCTCCTGTAGACTCCGAGCAATGGGGGGCAAGATGATCTTAATGGAATGCGAGGATAAAGAGGAATTAAAAGAGCTAGTACAGGGCGCTGCAAGCTGGCTGGGTCAATGGTTCTCAGAAGTTAAACCTTGGATACCTGCAGTGGTGGCAAATGGAATATTTGTTTGGATGAGATGCCTAGGAGCACCAATTCATGCTTGGGGGGCCAGATTTTTTTGAGAATATGGCTAATGCATGGGGCAAGTTTATATGTCTAGATGACAGTACAAGCAAGAGGAGGAGGTTCGACATAGCCAGATTCCTTATATCGATGTCGATAATGGATTTAATCTCAGTGAAGAGGCAGATCAAAGTTAATGGAGTCTTCAACAATCTGAAATTTTTGAAAGAAGAAATGACTAATAGTCTATCCTCATTAAGGTATGATTTTATGCCAAATTTTAAGAGTGATTCTAGCTCTAAAGAGTCATGGTCTGAGGGAAGCAATGATTATGAGGAGCTGGGAAGTAAATTCAGTGCAGAAGATAACGGAAATATCGACGAAGAAGAAGAAGATGTTAGAGGGGAACAGGAGTTAAATGAGTTGGACAAACGGTCGACCAACACCCCGTCTGACAAAGCAAAATTTGAAATGAAGGGCATGGGTGAGTTTGAAATTGTGGCAGAGAGAGGTGGCGTGAATAAGTGGAGAAGATTTGACAGGAGCACATACAGCCAACTGGGTGAGGAAGAATCAGTGGAAATGGTGGCGGACAGTATGGAAGGGCTTCTAGAAGCAAGTGACATGGGGAGTGGTGAAGAGGTGGGGCTTTGTAAATTGGACTCTAAGAGTAGGACAACAATGGACTCAATAGAGAACACGGAAGAATATGATTTGGGCCAAAGGCTAAAGCCCATATTGAAAGGCTTGGGTCCAAACCATGAAGAAAATGAAGAAGGAGACAAGGATATGAGGGCCCCATCGGATTCAAAAAGCAGCACCCAAGTGGGAGAAAAGGGGGATTTGCTGGGAATATCAAGAAATGAGGAAAGAAGGGACCATCAGCAAATTTGCAGTGAGATACAAGCGAAGACACCGAGTGAAGAAGCAAGGGTGAATGAGAGGGTAAGCACCAGCAGAGAAATAGACAAAAAAAGAAGAAAAAGGAGAGCTGTGAGCTGCAGATCAGTGTACCAAAAAGCAATAATGTTTGGATTAACGGGCCAACGAAGGAAAGGCCGAAGCAAATCTAAGAAGAAGCAAGCAGAGAAAGAAGGGATTCTGAGTTTCCTTCCAAATATGAGTAATTCGGTGGCAGGGGGATCAGTGGGAGACAGTGGAATAGAGAACTGCAACAGGATGCTAAAGGAGCAAAGTAGCCAGCGGACAGCAGCAAAACTATGGGAATTTGCAAAAAAAAATTGGTGTGGATGCAGAGGATGAGGAAGAGGCTGTCAAGATCCTTGAAGAAATGGAAACCCGTGATAGAAAAGAAAAGGCAGAAGGCAGCTCAAAGGAAGAAAGAAAGAATAAGAAGCTTAGTGAAGCTGTACAATGAATATCTTATCCTTTAATATTAGAGGGATTGGAGGTGTTGGGAAGAAGAGGTATATTAGAGATCTAGTAGTAAATGAGAGAGTGGATTTTTTAGCAATTCAGGAAACAAAATTAGCAAGAGTGGATAAAAAAATTTGTAGAGCAGTGTGGGGGTCTGAAGATTTTGAGTGGGTAGCCAAGGATGCTTGTGGAATGTCCGGTGGCATGCTTTGTTTGTGGAACCCCAAAGTGCTTACCATGTCCAGAATAATAGAGGGAGAAAACTTTATAGGCATAGAAGGAATTTGGGGGACAGAGGCAACCCCAGTGAGCATAATTAATGTATATTCCCCATGCCAGTTATCAGGGAAATGAACCTTATGGGAGGAATTGAAAAAACTGGTTTCCGGTAGAGGAGGTAATTGGTGTATTGTAGATGATTTCAATGCAATAAGAAAGACAGAGGAAAGAAAGGGGAGCAAGGGTATAAGTAGTGAGATGAGAAAGTTTGACAGTTTCATAAGAGAAGCAGATTTGATTGATATCCCATTAGTGGGCAGAAAATTTATGTGGTATCAGGCTAGTGGGCATTTTATGAGTAGAATAGACAGATTTCTACTTTCTGAAGGGTGGTTGTCCAAATGGGGTGATACCAAACAATGGGGTTTAAGAAGAACAATATCAGATCACTGCCCAATCCTACTCAAATTTCAGCAAGTAGACTGGGGTCCTAAACCATTCAGGTTCTTTGATGCTTGGCTAAAGATGGAAGGTTGTAGGGAGCTAATAAGAGAGGTATGGAGCAAAGCAGAAATCGAATGATGGGCAGGGTACTGCCTCAAAGAAAAGATGAAGTTGACAAAGGAGGCGCTAAGGAAATGGAGTAGGGACTCAACCTTGGATATTGAGAGAAAGATAAGCAATGTTGCAGCAGAGATAGACTGGATTGATAGGAAGGGGGAACAAGAGCAGCTGATGGAAGAAGAAATCAAGAAAAGAAGAGAGGCCACAATAACCCTATGGGAAAATATGAAGAGAAAGGAAAGTGTGATCCAACAAAAATCAAGGAAGACATGGTTAGCTCACGGAGATGCAAATACAAAGTTCTTCCACAAGTGTGTAAAGGGGAGATGGAGAAGAAATGAGATGATTAGCATACACATAAATGGAGTCCAGTTAAAGGTAGCTAGCAGAATGAAGGACGAGCTTGCTGGTTTCTTTGAGGAGATGTTTAAGGAAAAACAGAGGGTTAGGCCAAAGCTGAATGGGGTGTGTTTCAAACAGATTTCACAAGAAGATAATGATTTCATAACTGGACCCTTCAGTGAAAGTGAGATCAAGGTAGCAGTGTGGGAGTGTGATAGCTTGAAAGCGCTAGGCCCTGATGGGTTTAACTTCAAGTTTATCAAGTGCGAATGGGAGCTAATTAAAGATGATGTGATTAGATTCATACAGGAATTCCACAAGAACAACAAGATGGTGAGAGGACTCAACACATCCTTCATTGTACTGGTTCCCAAATCGGACAATCCGCAGAAGATAAAGGAGTGTCGACCCATCTCTTTAATTGGAGTCATGTATAAAATCCTAGCCAAGTTGCTAGCCAACCGCTTAAAGAAGGTGTTGCACCAAGTAGTGGGAGAACAACAGACGGCATTTTTAAGTGGAAGATAGCTGATGGATGGAGTTTTGATTGCTAATGAGGTGATCTGATAAGCTAAATTTATATACATATTAATAGGGAATTTTTACTTTGATTTTATTGATATTTGGATGAGTTTTATGGGATTTTGTTTGATTTTACATGGTTTTCATTCTTTGTGTAGGAAAGGATTTAATTGGAAGAAATTCTACTTTTTAGAAGTAAATTGAAATGATCAGAGACTTGAGGATCAACTTGTGCAGAATCCAAAAGTCAGGAACCATATCTGCTATTTTACCATTGAAGAAATTGCAAAAGGAAACCAAAAACCCGACACGGGTGTAGTGTCGACACATGATCGGGGTGTCGACACCATGCATTAAGAATCAGATGCTGTTTCCTAGTTTGTGTCAACACGTAATCCGAAGTGTCAGCACCACGCGATCAGCACCTAAAATTCAGTTTCCTATTTCTGTTCCAAGTCCTACTTCTATTTCAATTAGGGTTTCTAAAATCCTATAAATACCCATCCAAATTCAGAATTGAGGGAGCTTTGGAGAGGCTTGTGGCAGCCCTCTTTTGGGTACTCTTGGAGGTCAAAATAGATGATTCAACAATAGAAGATCAAGTAGTCGATTTCCTCAAATTGGGTTTTATTCTTCCTTGTTCTTAACTATGATTGTAGATTTTATTCTTTTTATTATGAACTGATTTATTTTATTAAGGCTATGATGTAGCCTAATCAATTCAATATAGATTTTGTGATTTTATATTTTCAATTAAAATTATTCGCATGAGGAGTTTATATTATTGAACTTAATGCATTGGAAGCCTGATCATCTTTCAATTGATTTAGTGATTTATGCATGAACTTGAGAAAGAATTGC